ATCAACATTCTTTAGTTAGATCATCAAATACTCTACATTTTCAAAATAATGTGCCAAAATTTATAAGAAAAAAAAACTTATACCAATGGCAATATACGACTTTTTTTATGTGACAGAAGAAATACTTCCCCCGTCCCATATCTTTCTTTTCATTTTGACTTTTGTAGTAAAAAATTTTGAACTTATGTAGTCATTTCAAAACGTAGGTTCGAAAAATCTTCGTTTTATATAATCTATATTTACATACAAATATAGATACTAGTGGTCAAATTGTTTCATTTGAGACTGTAAAAAGTCAAATGAAAGAAAGATATGAGACGGATGGAGTAGTACGTACCACTGCCCTTTGGACCAAGTATTGCAACAACCACATATGAACGGCCACATTCATGAAACTCTAAATCATCTTCAAGCTTTTCCAATGCATCTTCATTGAACTCTCCCTTGGCATCAATTAGTTGGAATTTATGATCTTCACCATTATTGGGTACACATGGACATATGAGTGGAAAATATTTAATTATAAATGCTAATAACAATTAAGAAGGAAAAATAGAAGAATTAATTTTACAACATATAATGAGTGAATTTGAGGCCTACCCATTCTTTATTAAGAAATGAGGTTGTGTGTATGGTCTTGGAAGAGATGAGAATGAAAGCAAATTTAATTGCTATGTGGGTGAATGAGAAAAATAGATTATTAGTGTGCATATATATACACACACATATATAAATGAGTCCATAGGGATTTATTCTTCAATTTTTTCTAATGAGATTTAAATAATTCTTACTCTCCTATTGGTAAAACACATTTTTCTTTTACGTTATTGCGTAAAGGTGATTATTCATTGCTCTGAAACCAAGTTACTCTCGCTGTACTAAAATAAGGTTCTCATTTCGGTTTACAGTGTTTAAGTAGAGTATTTTTAATTCAACATATTTGAATATTAGGGTAGAATTAAAAAATAAAAATACTTGGAGCATATTTAAATACTAATTCAAAAGCTTTGTGATATAAGTAATGACTTGACTAGTTTAATTTATCAAACAATCAAGGAACATATGTATTAAAAAAAGGATATAGTTTACCCTATGAAAAATGAATGATAATACTCTCTCCGTCCAACACTAAAGTTTCCATACACTATTCACAAGATCAAACTTTGTTACTTTGTTAGCCTATTTCCGTGTCCTATTTGATAAAATAATATAGTAAAGTCACCTCTAGTTTTGTAGATCTTTTTATGTAATTTTTAAATATGTAATTTTCAAATTTTAATTCTTTATTTTCAAACATCGTTACGCGCAACAGGAACTTTATTTATGGACGGAGGGAGTATTATTTTGGGATAAAGAATGTACTAATTATTCCTTGCTTATTAAGAGACCCAAAATTCAGGTCAATTTTTACACTGCATAGTTTTTGTAGTAAAATTTGTTTGAATTTTTATGGGGGGATTCTTCAAACACACGTTTCCTCAAAATGAAGGCAAGCATTTCTTTGAAAATATCTTTCTGGAATTTCTTGTGTAGAGTAAAACAAAATAACACTTTTTTTATGGGAATTAAATAAAGTAAAAAGTTACTGATCAAATAGGAGTAAAAATAAATTTATACTGGATGAATTTTAACCTATGCTAAGGCTCCGTTCCGTTCAACTTATTTTTTCTGATCTGATCTGATTCTAATAAGTTCTGATCTGATCTGGTCTGATCTGATCTGAACTGATTGGAACTGATTGGATCTGATCTGATCTGATCTGATTGGATCTGATCTGATCTGATTGGATCTGATCTGATCTGATCTGATCTGATTGGATCTGATCTGGTCTGATCTGATCTGATCTGATTAATTATGATTTAATTTAAAATTTCAAATTAATTATTTAATTTGACTTTATAATAACGTTTGAAAATTGTNTTATGATAATTTTTTTGTAAAATTAGAATTATACATTATAATAAATATTTAATTTAGATATACATTAAAAAGTAATTAAATTTAGATAATCAATATATAGAAGAGATAGTATTTTTATTAAAATATCTCATCCTTATAAAAGATCAAAAGTTTAGAAACTCAAATTACAAGTAGCAATAAAAATATATTTTAAAAGTATATTAGATTGACATTGTCAATGTATTTTAAAACTAATTTTTCCGACATCTAATAATTAAGGATTACTTTCTCAGTTTTCTAAAGTTTATTCTTTTTCATTTTTAAGAACAATAATAATAATAATAATAATGATGATGATGATGATAATAATAATAATAACAACAACAATAATAACAACAACAACAACAACAACAACAACAATAATAATAATAATAATAATTCTTGATGAGATCTAATTTTAATAAGTCCTGATCTGATCTGATCTGATTGAATCTGATCTGATCTGATTGGATCTGATCTGATCTGATAGGATCTGATCTGATCTGATTGGATCTGATCTGATCTGATTGGATCTGATTTGATCTGATCTGATTCGATCTGATCTGATCTGATTCGATCTGATCTGGTCTGATCTGATCTGATCTGATCTGATTTTAATAAGAATAAGAAAAAATAAGAAAAAATAAGTTGAACGGAACGGGGCCTAAGAAAGGTAACTTAATTTTACTAAATTGAGCAATTTATAACGTTAATAGATAGGAGTATATTTTAAACAATGCCCCCCCTGAAAAAATGGGCCTAGCCCATTTGGCCTACTTGCCATTGATCTGGGCCGGACCTACATTTGAAATTTTTATAGTGTTCCGTTCGACTCCATAATGGTTTCTATCTTCTCTAATTCATCCCAAAATCCTCGTCCTAACCCGTCCACTACACCCCACCCTAGCTCTCCTAGACTCTTCATCCTCATCCCCCGGCCCGTTCGTGGGTGACGATAATACATTGTCAAAATATTGAAAGTGGATTGTCACCGAGAGGAGGGAGGTTCTAAGAGGTGGAGATTTTGAAGATGAGTTAGGAGGTGGAAACCACTTCGTAGTCAAACAAAGTATTGTAAGGGCTCAAATTAACTTGTGCTCCATTTGGTACATGAAATTGAATTATATGGGATTAAATTTTAATCCGTTTCTAAATCTTTTGTTTGGGTATAATTGAGGACTTAATATTGAATTGTATTATAATTCCAATCTATTGTTTGGTAATACAAAATTATATATAGAATTGATATGAAATCATATTATAATTCCAAATTCACATCCACATATTTTTGGGAAGTGATATATGGACTCCAATTTTTGATATTGGCACCTTAAATTTCACTATTTACTCTCTCACGTGAATAATGTAATTTGGAGTGCCATTAGCAAAAAAAATAGTGTAAATATCATTTTTCCACATTTTTTTCCTACCAAACCCATATATTTTTGGAATTGATATGAAAATTTGGAATTAGAATTTAATTCCAAATCCACATACTTTTCTACTGTCAAACAACAGAACTGAAATTGAAGTCTTCAATTATAATTTCAATGTCTGAATTGCGTGTATCAAATGTAAAAATCATCCTAAATAGGACTAAAACATAGAGAAAAGTACCAAAATAGGACTTTCATGTTTTTTTCCCCGGAATAGGACTTTGCACTGTGGTAATGTGACTTTGCATTGTGGTAATGTGGCAGTGTACATGTGCAAATTACTATACTTTTTTCGTAATGTATATGACCATGTTTGGTAATGTAAGTCCTATTTCGGGAATAAAAACATGGAAGTCCTATTTTGGTATATTTTCAATGTTTTAGTACTAGTTTGATCTTTCTCCCTATCAAATGGAGCCTAATTGTCATAATGATCCGTGTAAGATTGAATTTCATATAAGAATTATAGATCTTTTGATATGAACAATTAATTATTTTCTCAATATATTTTTGAAAATTTTTATGGATTTTTAAATTTTTAAATTTTTAAATTAAAATAAATATTTCTTAATTTTTGATCTTGTTATATGTTTGTGTTGTTTATTTTGTTTGTTTTTTCTTTTAGACTATGCTCATTATGTTATGGGGAATGTTCATATACTGTAGTTTTTAAAATATGTTAATGTTCAGATGTTTGATGTATCATATTCAAATTTTCATGACCCAGAATCATCGGGTTCAAGCCGATCCAACGAGTTAACACTTGCATTTCGCATTAAATAAAATTACAATATCAAAAAATATGTACTAAATCTATTATTTTATTTTATTTTAAATTTTGAAATAATTTTTAGGTATACAAATCAATATAAAAAATTATATAAATGCATAATTTTTTGAAATAAAACAAGATAATTATGCAATATCATTAAAAAAATTTGAACATGTAAATTTATACACTAAAGTCGAGTAGTAAAAAATATATATAATTATAACCTTCTTTTTATAACATTATATTTCATAGTAAGTATATGGTTTTTTAAAACTCTTACATTAGCGAGTCGGTCATGTCGAGTTTGGGTTCGATCGGGTTTGATCCATTTTTAGTGGATCAGTTTGGGTTCGGTCAACTTCGAGTTCAGCCAACAAAACCTTTGTTCAAAATGCAATGTTTTCGGGTCAGGTTTCGAGTAAAAAACAAGTTGAGTCATTTTTTGTCACGTCTAGTAGTACCATATGTTTTAATTTCCCAATGTAGTACAATTGTTCAATAATCACAAGACGTTGTTCAAGTAAGTATTCACCGTCACTGGACATTGTTCAAAGCAAATGTCTACTGTCACTGGACATTATTCCCGCCACTGGACATTATATAAATACTATTTAAGAAATAAAAATTTTATATACTACATTGGGAAAAGACATATTTTAGTACTATTTAGTGAAAATTTCGCTGCTCAAAATAACTCTAGATTCAACGATTATATATTTTTAATATAACCAAATAATCTAATTGTGCTAAAAAAAATCTAATTGTCATTAGGTAAAAATCTGTCCCAAAACGTAACAAACCAAACAACAACTAATACATGTCAACTAATACATTCATCAAAATTGCAATTTGATGACCACATAACAACTTCATTATAGGTTGAAATGCATCCAAAACACAGCTAGAAAACATGTAATGAACCAATTTTATGTTATTATTTCATTCATTACCACCAATTTCTGCCTGCAACGCCTTGTTTGAGAAGAAGGAATCTATGTTGTTGGCAACCAACTCTTGGAGTGCAACCATGGCCTCATGGGTTGCATATGAAACATGGGAAGACAAGACAACATTGTCCAATCCAACTAGTTCCCTAGGCACATTCGGTTCGTTCTCAAAAACATCAAGGCCCGCGCCTCCAAGCTCGCCCCTCGCCAACAAATCCACCATTTCCTTTTCGTCTATCAGAGCCCCTCGCCCGATGTTTATGACGATCCCGCCCTTTCCTAGGGCCAACATGACCTTTTTGTCCACAATGTGGTTGGTTTCTTGCGTTAGCGCGCAACAGAGGACCAAGACATCGCACGCGGTGGCCAGATCGGTTATGTTTGGATGGAAGGAAAAGGGCACATGTGGTTTGACCTTCTTTGAGGTGTAGGCAATGGTGCAACCAAGGGCCTCAAGTCTTTTGCTAACCCTTAAGCCAATGCTCCCTAGACCCACAATTCCCACTCGCTTACCTCCCACCTGTATATCATATAATAATCAAAACTTTATTGGAGGGTAGTGTGCTTGATATATTTAAACAAACTCAATTGTTATATATAGCAAACACACTTTCTATTTTTACAAAATACTTGTTAATTACAAACTACAGCCTCATTCACGCCGCTAGCCACGTATCTTACTTTCTCAAGGTAATTTTTATTTCTATACCTAAAATCTTAATTAAATTTTATTTTTAATTACTTTTATGTTTGTGCATTAGTAGAGAGTGTGATATTAAAGTTAATTATTTTATTTTAAATATAGTTAATTGAATTAGTAGATACTTGGATGACTTTTGTGTGATAGAATTTAGATTTGGGTATGGACAACGGGATTGGCAATAAGACACTTGGGCTGAACCACATTAAAAGATTGAATTCAATCGATTAGTTAGTTCAACTCAAGGGCTTATATACCGGTTTATTTCCTCTTCAAGTTCCGATGTGGGATACTCTTTAACACTCCCCCTCAAGTGGACAACCGGGCCGTTTTGAATCTAACCGTTGAGTTACTGGGTATGGACTTCCAGACGAGCAATCGTGTTAAACAGGCCACAGGCCGTTGGGTACATACTCCATACGGACAACTGGGTTAAAGACAAACGGGGCCGCTAGGAATGAACGTCTAGACGGGCACCTTGACAAACGAGGTGGGCCAAAACCTGCTTTGATACCATGATAGAATTTAGATTTGGGTATGGATAACTGGATTGGGTAACAAGACACTTGGACTGAACCACATTAAAAGATTGAATTCAATCGATTAGTTAGTTCAACTCAAGGACTTATATACCGGTTTATTTCCTCTTCATGTTCCGATGTGGGATACTCTTTAACATTGTGTTTGTGATTTTAAGTGTATTGAAGTCATTGTAAAATTGAAATAGTTTGTGCATTAGTAGAGAATATGACGTTAAGATAATGAAATCAAATTTTAAATGCCTTTTCATGCTTGTTTGACAAGACATAAGATTTCTTCAAAATAAATTATATTGGAGGAGCATGCTACATGTACCCCAAAATTTGTACCCCATTTGTACACCAAAGGTATGCACCAACATTTTGATGGTTCACACTGACACAAAATGTTGGTGCGTTAACAAAAATTTACACTGACACAAAGTGTTGGTGCGTTAACAAAAATTAGCATCCCTACGGTGTATAAAATGTTGGTGCATCCCTGCGGTGTACAAAATGGGGTACAAATAGCTTTACCCTAAATTGGAACATACAAATCGTATATTGTTTGTTTGATGCTAAATGATCTGAGTTGTAATTTTCACCAACATAAAATGTTGGTGCATCCCTGCAGTGTACAAAATGGGATACAAATCCTTGGGGTACAAATAGTTTTACCCTAAATTGGAACATACAAATCGTATATTGTTGTTTGATGCTAAATGATCTGAGTTGTAATTTTGATGCTAAATACCTGTTTAAAATTTACTCATTACAAGTAAATTTTAAATAGCAACCAGTTTAGGACTGTTCTTGAACGGCTTACGTCCCTTAGGCGGTGAATGCAATTCTTTTTCTTGGTTCCATCATTTTTTTGCCTAGCATTTCCCAAATGCATTCTACGGGTGCATATGTAACTACATTACATCGTGCACTCGAAGAACCTGTTGGGAAATGCTGCCAAAATTTTTATGGATCAAAGAAAATGAAATGCATTCACCGGTGATGATAGCATTTCAAGAATGGGCTATGATGGAGTAAAGAAGCACCATATAGAATGGGAAAATGCTGCCAAATTTTCGTTGCATTGATCATAAGTAATGAAATATTGAGTTGCATGTGTTTGTTATATTTATATACATATATCAAATGGGTCTTAATTATTCTCTTTACATTATTTTTCACTCAACCCTATTATATATGTTCATCTTTGAGCTAGTAATACATATGATGGATTGAAATTAGAGTGATATGCCACGAACATCAGCTGAGTTTTGTGCGTATTTGGAGGAGTTTATTCGCTTCATAAGAAAATATTGATGAAAAGGACAAAAGATATAATGTCCTTGTAACTCGTGTCATAACCATTTTATAGTTAATATCATTAAGGATATAAGTGTCCATAGTGTATCGCATGGTTTCAGCCCAACATATATACAAGCGATGGGCGACATGGAGAGCTGGAGAATGTTGGTAGCTCATCAATTCATCTTATAAGGAACAAGTAGAAGTCGATATTGACGATATCAAGGGTTTGGAGGCTGAAATGGAAGAGGAATAAGAGTGTACTCAAGGTGCTTGTCGTGATTGTCAAGATGTACGTCGATGAAGAGCGTAATATGTATGAGAGTTTAGTAGGTAACTCAAAGAGGCTATTGTATCCGGGTTGTGTTAAGTACACACGTTTGAAAGGAGTGTTGGCATTGTTTAATTTAAAAGAGGCAAATGGATAGAGTGATAAGAACTTCACGACCTTGTTAGGTTTGTTGGGTACTTGGGCGAACTCCTAGATGGACACAAATTGCTATCGTCCACTTATGAGGCAAAGAAAATGATGTGTCCAATGTGGAAGGGGTATGAGAAGATATATGCTTGTGTTAATGATTGTATTTTATTCCGAAATGAGTATAAGGGTCTAAGCGAATGTCCCAAGTGTTTTGCTCCGCAACATGATACAAGGAGTCGAGCAAAAGCGTTTTAAACAAGGGCAACACTAAAGGTATCAAAAAACTCTGATTAATGTTTTATGTTATCTTCCAATAATACCAAAGTTCAAGCGTATGTTTGCTTCCACTAAAGATGTAAAAAATTTTGTGTGGCACTTTTAGAATAAGGAGTTCGCCCAAGTGCCCAACAAACTTAATAAAGACGTGAAGCTCTTGTCTCTCCACATATTTGCCACTTTTAAAATGAACAATGCCAACGCTCCTATCAAACGTATGTACTTAGCACAACCAGGATATAACAGCTTCTTTGAGTTACCTAGTAAACTCTCATACATATTACGCTTTTCATCGATGACATCTTGTCAATCACGACGAACACCTTGAGTAAATTCTAATTCTTCTTCCATTTTGACTTCCAAACCCTCAATATCGTCAATATTGACTTATACTAGTTTCTTATAAGATGACTTGATGACCTACCAACATTCTCCAGTTCTCCATGTCATATCCATCGCTTGTATGTTGGGTCAAAACTTTAGCATTACACATGAACTCTTATATCTTTAATGATATCAATCATAAAATAGTTATGACATGAGTTACAAGGGCATGATATCTTTTCTCCCTCTTTTGAATGTTTCCTTATGAAGCGAATAAACTTCTCCAAACACGTACACAACTCAGCCAACGTCTATGGCATATCAATCCAAGCTAAGAATATGAGGGGGAGGAGGTTGATCAGACAATCGTCATTGTCTTTGTGAGGCATGACATGAAATTACATACTTAATTAAAGACAAACAATTATTCATATTTTCTCATTAATTATCAAAAATGCAATTATGAATTTACTTATCAACTATAAAGACTATTGCACTAATACATGACAGAGGACGACATCGGGAATGTCAGGTTGTTATATTCGAAGAATGTGCGGTACATGATAGTTAAGGAGATCGTAGCTATTTGGATTGATCATTCCATGAGTACAAATCGCGATCCTTGATGCTTTTGTCATTGTATCTTTCGAGCTTGTATGTAATCTAAACTAATTTAAATGAGTACTCAACTTTTACGTATCTATTATTGATTACGAAATTAATTACTAAAATTTGTTTTGAATTATAGTCATCATTGGGTGTTAGTTGTAATACGCTTGTTTGAAAACAACTTGTATTTCTTTAACTCAATATCCAAGATCAAGAGATATAATAGTATGAAAGTGAAGATTTTCATAAATGAGCAAGTATATATGAATTATATTAGTAATATTGAGGGGCTGTTTGGCAACTTCTGAATCGGTAAGTGCTGAACCAGTAAGAGGTCTGAACCATTAAGTGCTGAACCAGTAAGAGATCTGAACCATTAAGAGCTAGTATATTGCTTAACTATTCAGAGGCAAATGTCTGATCAATTCAGATAAGAGGTCTTAACCATTCAGACTCTGTATAATACTTAATCATTCAGAGGCAAATCTCTTAATCATTCAGACATCTGAACCATTAAGAGGCTGAAACAAACAGTCTGAACCATTAAGTGCTGAACCATTCAGACATCTGAACCATTAAGAGGCTGAAACAAACAGCCCCTGAATGAAGATATTGTTCTCACGAATTATTTTTACAATGCTTCATCTTTTAAAATTTGAAGGGCTTGGCAGATACTTAAAGAATGGAAATGTCTAAGCTTAATGCAAAATCGAAGAGGGTTGAGACATAGTATGAAATAAATTAAAAGTTTTATTAAAAAATGTTTGTAGAGTAATACTGTGTAAAATACTCCCTCAGTACTAATAAATCCTTCCCCTTTTCTTTTTTTACATGTCTCAAAAAGTCTTTCTCATTTAACAATTACTTTTATCTCTACTAGTTTTAACTTACCTATTACATCATACATTTTACTAATAACCTACACATCACATTCTACTATTACCCATCACATCAAGGATATTTTTGGAGTCAAGACAAAAGTATCTCTCCCTTAAATTTTCTAAATGTCAAAATGGGAAAATCTTTTTAAGATGAAGGAAATATATTGATAGAGAGATACGAAGTATAAAATACATAGGCCTTGTTTGGATGTTGGCTGTCAGCTGTTGGCTATTCGCAGTTCGTGCCAGCTGTTGTGAATGGCTGTTTAGTTTAGCTGGTTTGACTAGCAGAATGAATTGGCTGATCGCTAAAAATGTTTGGTAAAATTAGCTTTTTGAAAATAGTTTTCCCTATATATATATATATATATATATATATATATATATATATATATATATATATATATATATATATATATATATATATATATATATATATATATATATATATATATATATATATATATATATATATATATATATATATATATATATATATATATATATATATATATATATATATATATATATATATGGGATTGACTCCAGTGAGATGACACCTTATGGTGAGATGACATGCTTCGGTCAGATACGCAAAGCTCACCACTAGCCACTGCAAAGCTCAGCAAAGATAACTACAAAGCTCACCAAACTGTAAGGCAAAGCTCACCATATTTTTTCAACATTTTAAATTTTTTTTGAAAAAATAAAATCAAAGGAAGGGTGCAGACTAGACTTTGACCGTTGACCGACAGCATTGACCGTCGCCTACCGCCGGTCGCCGGCCGCCACCGCCGGACTCCGGCGACCACCGCCGGTTGCCGTCGCCGGACTCCGGCGACAACCGCCGGCCGCCGTCGCCGGACTCTGGCCGCCGCCGCCGCCCGCCGCTGCTCCGCTGCCTGCCACTGCCGTTGACCGGTATTGCTATTTTATTTTTAATTAATTTTTTAATTTTCAAAATTTAAAAAAAAATGAGTTTTGGTGTTCAAAGTGGTGAGTTTTGCTTTATTTCCAGGTGAGCTTTGCATTGTCCATTGGTGAGCTTTGTAGTGTAGTGTGGTGAGCTTTGCGTCATCTGACCGAAGCATGTCATCTCACCATAAAGTGTCATCTCACTGGAGTCAAACCCATATATATATATATATATATATATATATATATATATAGACACACACACACAATATTTATTTTTCATTTTTTTACATGTAAAAATTAAATCTTTACTATATGGAGTATTAAATTTTAATTTCATTTAATTCATAATAAATTATAAATATAATTTTTTTAAATGATTTTTTCTTTTTATTTTCGCATTTCATTTTTTTGAAATTTTTAAATTTTAAATTTTATTTTTTTAGTATTTAATTTTTTTAACTTTTATTTTTATTTTTATTTTTTACATATATTATAAAATATCTTTCAACAAAAATGATTTTAAAAAAATTATTTTTCCTAAGCACCAAGTCCAAATGCTACTCCCCTTGGCATTTGAGATGTTGGCTTTTTGGATCAAAATGCCAAGTGAAAAAGTCATTAGCCAAACAATGGTTTTGGCGATTCGCTTGGTCAAAAAAGCTAAAGTCAGTCAAAGATGTCAAAAGCTATCTCAAATGCTGTTTTCCAAACACGGCCATAGTATGGTTGGAGAAGTTAAAAAATACTACGTAGATACCTAAAATACTATTCTCTCCGTTTCCACTTTCTTTTTTTGGTTATCCAAATATTTCTTTTTTGTTTCTTATTTTGGCAATTTTTTTAAAATAAATGTATCATTACACTCCCACACTATTTTTTATCTAAACTATTCACTTTATTACATCATCACAAACATGGAAAGTCTTTAGACTTTTTAATATTTTTTAACATCCGTGTCAAGTCAAAACGATAAAGAAGAGGAAGTATTTATTTGTTAAAATGGCGTTTACCATCTCATTTTATAGCAACTAGTATCACACCCGTGCGTTGCACGGGTTATAGTTACGTTACTAAATTAAGATCATTTTTATGAATATAAATTGGTATATATTAGAATGTAGAGGCTTCATTATTTTAAAGTACAAAAATAAAATGATTTACAAGTTTTGAAAGACTTCTTTATAAACTATATTACTCGTATAATTCGTGTGAGCATTCACTTCGTTTTATATCAGGATTTTTAAGCCATTGCGATTTATTACTCCTGAAACTGCAACATACATTTGTCTATGACTAAATACAGGCTTCCGTAACAATAAAACAACATGTTTCAGATTTTGTCCCTGACAAAAATTCAAAAATTTGACTTATCTAAGCAATAATTCAACATATTAATGTATTTATTTTGAAATTTGTAGTTGTTTAATTTTATTTTCGTATTTAAATGGTACCATTTACTTACCCTACGATATTTATTTTTTATTTTATTTTAGATCACTTACCATTTTTACACGTGTCCATGCTTGTAAATTATTATATTAATAGTATTAATTAATAATTTTTTTTAATTTTTGCATTTAAATGGTACCATTTACTTACTGTACCGTATTTATTTTTTAATTTATTTGATAACACTTATCATTTTTACACGTTTCAATGCTTGTAAATTGTAATATTAATTTGTTGTTTTTCTATTTTATTTTTATATTTAAATGGTATCATTTACTTACCGTACCGTATTTATTTTCTAATATATTTTAGAGCACTTACCATTTTGATATTCATTTTATTTTCTAATTATTTAGAACACTTACCTAATTTATTTTAGAACAGTTATCATTTATTTTCTTTTTGTATTAAAATCACACCATTTACTTATCGTGCTGACGTACCGTATTTATTTTCTAATTTTATAATTAGAATACTAACCTTTTTAAAAATAGTTTCATGTTTGTAAATTATAGTATTAATATTAATTTTGCAATTTTTATTTTATTTTTGTATTTAAATGGTACTAATTACTTTCCTAACCACATTTATTTTCTAATTTATTTTAGAACACTTGTCATTTTTAGATGTATTTTACTTTCTCTTTTATTTTAGAACACTTACCTAATTTATATTAGAACACTTACCATTTTTTTTGTTTTCATTTTTAAATGGTGTCATTTGCTTACCGTACCATACCGTAAATATTTTCTAATTTTCTAATTAGAACACTTATCATTTTTAAAATGTTTCCATGCTTGTAAATTATATTATTAATATTAATTTGTAGTTTTTTATTTTATTTTTGTATTAAAATGTTACCATTTACGTACCGTACCATATTTATTTTCTAATTTATTTTAGAAAACTTACCATTTTTACACGTTCGTGCTTGTAAATTATAATATTTTTTTGAAATAACTAATTAATTTGTACGTAGTATTTTTGAAATAAATCATTCTAATCTCGCCCATAATTTATTAATTTGTAGTTTTTAAATTTTATTTTCATATTGAAATGGTACTGTATTTTATTTCCATACTATAATTCTCCAGTGGTTCACTACTATTTAATTTATTTAATTTAATTTAAATACTTAAATTGTGTAGCATTTAAATAAAAATGAAAACATACTTAAAATGGAAGGAAAATATTAAGGCAAAATACTTAAACTACCATTTGTGTAGTCAACACTTTCCATATATGAGTCTCATGCATGGACGAGAAAACATTCTATCTCTTTTTAAATACTACTTCTGTCCCAGAGTATTTGTTCACTTTCATTTTTACACACAATCCAATACACTTCTTTAATCCATTTTATCTTGTAATTTGTACATTAAAAAATTATAAAAATTATATATTAATAATCTATATGTTAAGACAAATCAAACAAAATCGACTATATTTAGGCTTACACATTGAGAGAATTTGATGAGTCAAAGTGTTTAAATGAACAGTTCCAAAAGTCAAAACTGGACGAATACTCCGGACGGAGGGAGTATAGACTATAGTATAGATGGTATAGATTCTCGAGATGCTTATAATCATTGTTATTTTTGTCCATCGGCATAACAAATACGGAGTAAAATGAACAGAGATTTAATAAAATGGCGATGAGTTATCTGACCTTAGAGCCCAGGGGAAAGTTTCCCTCCGCCGGCCAGGAGCCAGACCGGACAAATCTGTCTGCGACAGAGACCCTACGCAGAACATCAATCAAGAGCCCGACGGCGAAATCGGCCACGTCATCGGAGAAAGTGTCTCCGGCGCCGGTGACGCGGATTCCACGGCGTCGGAACTCGGCGACGTCGACGTGGTCGTGCCCGGCGCTGGAGCAGACGACGCACTCGAGCGAAGGGTACCGATCCAGGGTGTCGGATGTGATCGGCGTGGGCCCGACGCAGAGCATGACCCGACCCGATTTAGACAGTGCGGCGAACGATGGCCCGGATTCGTCAATCGGGTCGAGAATCCGGTACCGGGTTTGGAGGAAGGGGAATAATGCTGAGAGTTGGTGGCGGGCCAAGCGGTTTATGAGAATAAGTGGCCGGATTCCGGTTCCCGACGGCGGTCCCGGTGAGGCGACGGCAGCCATTATTGGAGAGTTCAGCAAATAATTGCGTTTTCGGTGATATTTATAGTCGTTCACTGAACATTTGAAAAAAAAAGATGAGACACTGAACAATTTTCAAAAATACTACTCCTTACTACAGTACTCCGTTACTACTTACCCGGTATTTTTTTAATAATCATACCAGATTAAATTAGATCAAAAATAAATTTAATTATAATCTCTATTAGTTTATTCACGTATAATACGCGTATTATTCACCCGTACGTATGATACACGTATTATACTCTCGAATACGAATTTTAAACGGGACGAACATATAATACGCGTATTTTTGATCCCAAATGTATTACGAATTTTATATGTATTATATTGCAAAATCATTAGGGTCAAATTCAGATGAGATTAAATAACTTGATTGTCATTCTGGAAAGATATAAATCGTTAAAATTTGACAACTCAATTATTATAAAAATATTAAAAGTCAGATCGTAGTTCAAGTCATCCACCAATATCTTTTGTTAATAAAATGTCACCCACACTTTACTAGTCTCTTCGACTTCGTTTGGCTGAAAGTCCAACATTGCATCTGCAGTAGCGAATAGTAGACAATAACATTTTCTCTATTTGTTTAGATTTTGAAATTGTGATCAATTTTTTGTATAAAGTTCTTAAGATTAAATATTTGTCTACGTTTGAAAATTCAAATTTGATTTTATTTGTATGATCTAAATTCAAAAAATCTAAGTTCGTAACTATATTTTTGTATTCTAAAAATAAAAAATATAAACTAAATTTAGTTATACTCAACTTTAAATTGTGTAAAACATTATTTAGTAAGTTTGTATTTAAATTATAAAGAGACTTAAATCTTCCTTTTAAATTCATGATAAACATTTAATCAATTTTGTAAAACATAAATTGTCTAATAATGTAATTTTTGTCATGTCTTAAATGCTTTATTCATATCTAAATGTTGGCTTCATTTTTCAGAAGTAAATTTACCTAAATTAGACTAAAACATAATAACTTTCTTAATATAGGATCATGTGTTTAAATTTTCTAGTGTAGGATCATTGTTCATCATCCATTAGTCATTATTTGAGTCAATGTCCACAATTACTAGACATTATTCCACCTACTAGACGTTATTAAGTACTATTTAGAAAATAAAAAAAGTTTAAGCCCTACATTGGGAAATAACTTATGTTTTAGTCTTATTTATTGCATATTTCACTTTTCAGAATGTCTTCTTAATTTGAATGCATTTTGTGGAAGTACGGATTAATAATTAGATTGAAAGATCTCCTTTGGGTACACATGGAAAAAATGAATAAAAAATAAATCGTAGTGTTGGTTAAATTTTTAGAACTTTATGATGTATTTGTATTCAATTTCAAAGTTTAAAATGTGTTTCTTATTAAAAATATATACATTCATTATAAGCTGTATTTTTGAAAATTCAAACGTATAATACGCGAATGTATCCGTATGCATGCTCCGAACGTATAAAACGTATAATAAGACGTATTTTAAAAAAGTGGTCCGTATTATACACAACCGTACGAATAGACGTATTATGCTCGTATCCGAATAAGCTAACGGAGAATTTAAAATTGCAATCAGATCAGATTTTAAAATATTAGATTAGATCAGGCGAACGTAACGCAACCTAAGTTAAATGTTTGATATTCACATGCTCAAACTTTATTTACTTTTTTCTATACTGTCATTACTCATAAAATAAAATGAAATAGTTATTCAACCTCTTATTTCATAGAGCTTTTGATGTGGTTTTTAATATGTAAAGTTTGTTTTTTTTGTTCTGATCTAGTTCTCTAATAAATTAAATTGAAAATAACTATAGTCAAACATCGTAAACCGAAATAGGTTATTTAGATTGTGTGATGACATATTTTTTAATTTAACATTTTTGAATCAAACATGATGGCTATGAGCTTTGACTAAACAAAATTTGTAATAAACAATCACTCTGAATAGAAGTAAAACATGAAAAAATACCAAAAAATAAGCTTCATACTTTTTTTATAAATAAGATTTAGCATTGTGGTAATCTGTCACTATATATGGACATTTCATAATATCTTTTAGTAACGTGTAGAGTCATGATTGACATTGTATATGCATTTTAACTCTATTCGGGAATATAAAACTTTGAACTCCTATTTTTTTTATATTTTTAATATTTTACCCATTACTTCAGTTTTTTTTCTTTTGTAATGTGTGTTAATACAAAAAATGATTTTATTTGATTTGTCCTGTGAAGGACTACAAAAATTGTTTTTCAATTTACTAATATACATATAAATTAGGAATAATTGAATTTAAAAAATTGTCTAGTTTGACTCCAAAAAGTCAAATTAGAAAAATACATTGAGATGGAGTACTTCACGAAGTTTATACCAAATCTTTATTTTTTTATATTTACCTTTATCTTAATCTTTGTCTTTGTTTTGTTTTTGTTTTTGTTTTTGTCTTTGTCTTTATCGTTTATCTTTAATTTTTGGAAAAATTATCTCAAATAATCTTACTTTTTGCATTCTTTAAAAAATAATCTCACTTTTGACCGTTATTGGAAATAATCCCACTTTTTTGCATGTGTGTGAGTTTTGGGTCGCCGTTAAATAACTAGCAGCCACTTAACGGAGTTTTTAGAAAATGCTTGTTTTCGTAAATAAATAAAAAGTGAGATTATTTTAGGCAAATTTAATTTTTAATTTTTTTATTTTAAATTTAAAATTAATATTTTTAAAAATATAATAGTACACTCTTGTTAGAAATTTGTCTAACGATTTATAAATTTTGTTTTCTGTTTTGAGAAAATATAGTATTGAATTATCAAAAATAATTTAGTGTATCGATCAAAAAAGAAATTGCAATACAAAAAAAGGTAGTGAGTTATAAAATTTATTAGTATCGTTTCGGAGATAAAAAGCATTGTACCATTTTCACAACTTTTGAATTACTCCCTTTGTCCTTAAGTATCTGTCCACTTTTGATTTTTCTGGTCAAAATTGGTAAATTTTGACCTTAAATTAAATAAAAATGATACTAAATATTGATACAAAAATAATTTTATTAGATTTACTATGTAAAATATTTTCAAAATATTATTTTATATAATTAATATACAATATATATTTAATTAATATACAATATTTTAAATGGTATAGGTGAAAGGTTGAAAACACTTGACTGAAAAAAGTCAAAACTAGACAAATACTCAGCAGACGAAGGTAGTACTATTTTGGGGGAAAATTTGTACTGAATTATCAAAAAAATCACAAATTAGGTAGTTCCATTTTAGAAAAATACAATATAGGCAATAGAAGATTATCAATAAATATTTAGAGTGTTATTCATGAAAAAATTGCAATACAACAGAAAATGTAGTAAGTTATAAAAATAAAAGTTCCATTTCAGAGAAAAATTTGTTGTGTTATTTTTCACAATTGTTGTAATGTTGTTTCGCAAAAAATATTTATATTGAATTATCAAAAAAATATTCACAAGTTTTGTAGTGTCATTTTTAAGAAATAATAATAATGTAGTATCAAAAAACAATTTGAAGTGTGCTCGATAAAAATAATTGCAACTTACAAAATAATATAGTGAGTTATGAATTAAATAAATTAAAAATAATTAGTTTCACTCTAAAAAACACTTAAGTTTGGTATTATTTTTCAAAAAAAAATTAAAAATACATTTAAATTGAAAGTTAGAAATTAAAAAAATGAAAAAAAAGAGAATTTACCTAAAATCATCACACCTTTCATTTATTTGCGGAAAACATGCATTTTTTCAAAAATTCCGTTAGGTGACCGTTAGTTTTTTTACGGCGACCCAAAACTCACACGCATGCGAAAAGGTGAGATTATTTCCGATGATAGTGAAATGTGAGATTATCTTTGAAAGAGTATGAAAAGGTGAGATTATTTGAGATAATTTTTCCTTAATTCCTTAAATAAGAACCTTGGCCAAATAGCTCTGGTGCCCCTTGTGGTTTGGAAAATAGGCACCAGTACCCCCATCTGTTTTCAAAACTTATATCTAAAGTCCGTGTGGTTTCAAAATGTTGTACTCACACCCCCTTTGATCATATTCCGGCCATTTTCCGGCAAAGAGGGGGCATTGACGTATAATTTCTAAATCACATTGGGCATTCGAGCTCATTTCTTATTTTCGTTTATTATTTGTGTATCTCTCTTTTTTTAAATATTTTCCATCTCTTTTTTCCTTTTCCTAGATTTTTTTTTAAATTTATTTTCAATTTTTTATAATGTTTTAAAAATTTAAAAATTCTTTGTGTTTGAAATCGAAATAAAAATAAAAAAATTAGCATACATTACATCTATCTCAAATTAAACATTTTTGGTTTTTGTTACTTAGAATAACTTTTTGGAAAGTTCAAAAAACCTAGAATAAAAAATAAAAATTTGGAAAAATGAAATGAAACAATTAAAATACGCAAAAAAAAATTTATACAAAAACATTTGACACGTATAAAAAGTTTCTTAGAATTGAGATGTCCAAAAAGGATATTCATTTATATTTTTGTATTATTTTGTTTCTTATTTTATTCCTCATTTTTTTGAAGTTCTCAAAAAAATTACTCCATTTTTCCACCATAGATCTTCCCGAATACTATTCACAGGGTCAAACTTAATTCACTTTGTTTGCTTATTTTTACTACTCATTTTATAAAATAATATAGTCTTGTCACCTCTAGTTTTGTAGAACTTTTCATGTAGTTTATTACTATATAAATTTTACATTAAAATTTTACCCCTATATTCAAATAAATCGAATTGAAAATAAAGTCGGTCAAGCCTCGTAACGCGCAATGAGAAGATCTTAGATGGACGGAGGGAGTACTTTTTTTAGAAAAAACAAAATTGTTAATTTGAGACGTATAGATGCATTATATGTTATTTTTTTAAAAAAAATAACTTCAAATTTTAAGAACATTATAAAAATTATTTTAAAAAAAAACCTATTTTAATAAATGAAACAAAAAAGGAAAAAATGAAAAAAAATAAGCGAGAAATAAAAATCAGCACTGATACCCCCTATGATTTAGAAAATATGCACTAATGCCCCTTTTCTTCAACAGGAAAATCACCAGAAATGATCGGAGGGGGGCACAGGTGCAACATTTTGAAATCACAAGGATTTTATAAATAAGCTTTGAAAACAGAAGGGATATTGTTGTCTATTTTTCAAACGACGGGAGGTGCCGGCGCTATTTGGCCTAAGAACCTTTTTTAAACAGTGTTCCCGACGGAAATTGGGTCGGGTCAAAGTATAATGATGGGACGGATATTGAAGTTATTTCGCTGCGAGTTCTACGGGGGGCGGAAGAATATTTTCAATTTTCAAACAAATCCAAATCAATTTTCAAAAATACTATTCAGCTACATTCACGGTGTTCATGAATCCCATTATTTAGTTCAAATTTGGACCAACTCAATATGATTCTCTCCAATGAGAGGTTATGGGTTCGAAGGATAATAACTACTGCCTCCGTCCATGTATGATCTTCCCATTACGCGTTACGAGCCTTGACCGACTTTATTTTGAACAGAATGCACAATATATTGATTCCACCTCAAAAATCAATGTTTACAACAACTTAGTCAAACCAGCTTTTGATATTAAAACCTCTACACCTTGTTAATATTGCATATATTCTTCCTCCAATAGGCTTCTGTTTGCTTTCGAATTTGCATGTACACTTCTTCCTCTGGTAGTGCAGGTTGGCCATGGATAATTTTGTTTCTTGTCTTCCAGATCCAGTGACATGTAGCTGCAAAGACACTAATATATTCCTGCCTTTTCCTCCCCTTGATAGCCATGAGTTTATCTTTCACATCTTCTATACTTCTCCCACTAATTTTGCTCTCAGTCCCTTGAGAGAGTCTCCCCATTAGTTTAGTAGTAATGGGGCAATTACAAAACAGGTGGTTATGACTTTCTTCTACACTTTTACATAGTGGCCAGGCTATGTCTATATATCTGCTCAACCTGTCTTTTGTATTCAATCTTCCTTTGCATATTAACCAAAGTAGGAATTGGTGTTTTGGAACAGTGAGTTTATTCCATATGAAGGAGGTCCATTCTGATTTGGTTCTCTTGCCCAGTAGCCAAGTATATCCCTCTTATGTCGTGTACTCCTTGTCGTCCTGCATGTTTTCGAACCACCTTCTGTTGTGAATAATTTTCTTCCAATAGTAGCAACAATCCCTTCTTAGCTTGTAGCTCTCCATATCTTCTTTCATATAGCGTTCATGTATCCACTTCACCCACAGGTTATCCTTCTTATTCTTGACATCCCACCAGTAGGTATGTATAAAAGCTCTGTTCCAAAGTGTCATATTCCTCAAACCCAGTCCACCATAGATTATTGGCAGACACACCTCTTCCCAGTTCACCAAAGGGATCTTAGTATAGCTGGCTTTGGTTCCCCATAAGAAATTCCTGCAGATGCTTTGCACCTTCTTCATGACCTTTGATGAGATGATGAATAGTTGGTTCCAGAAAGTCATGACTCCAAATAGGACTGTGTTGACTAACTGGCATCTTCCTGCATATGAGAGATGTCTAGTGGCCCAAGATGTTATTTTGTTTGTAATATTTTCAACTAGTCTGTCACATTCCTTCTCACCAATCCTTGATGCTGAAATTGGGCTCCGAGATATCTGATAGGAAGATCTCCTATAGGGAGCTTGGTCATTCTAATCAGTTTCTCTTGAGTATCCTTATCTACCCCTCCAAAAATAATTTGTGACTTGCTGAAATTTATTCCCAGACCTGTGCTCTTTTGGAAATTCTTCAGTATATCCATGATGGCTTTCACAGAACCTTCTTCCGCCTTGCACACTATGATGAGGTCATCAGCAAAACAAAGGTTTACTAATTCAAGGGTTTTGCACATTGGGTGATATTTGAATTCTTTTGTTCTGGCCATTTGTTGCAAAAGTCTGCTAAGGTATTCCATTACTAGGACAAAGAGTAGTGGGGAGAGGGGGTCTCCTTGTCTAAGCCCCTTTTTCCCTGCAAAGTACCCATGAGCTTCTCCATTGAGTTGGACAGAATATGAAGGGGTTGAAATACAGTATTCAATCCAGCTCACAAACTGATAGGGAAAATTCAGCAGTTCCATAATCTGTATGACTGCCTTCCAGCTTACATTATCATATGCCTTTCTAATATCCAGTTTCATGAGGCATCTAGGTAAATTCCTTTCCTTTTATAGCCTCTGGTTAGCTCATGACACATTAATACAATATGAACTAACTTCCTCTCTTTGATGAAAGCCCCCTGATTTTGGTTTATTACCTCTGGAAGTATTTTTTTGAGTCAGTTACAAATTATTTTTGCTATGGCCTTGTATATAACATTGCAACATGCTATAGGCCTGTAGTCATTTGCCTCCTTGGGTGCTTCAGATTTAGGAACCACAGTGATTGAGGTGGCATTGATCTGCTTAATAAACTTCCCATTCTTAAAGAAATCCAAAATGGCATCGGTGATTAATTCCCCCACTTGATTCCACTGGTGTTTGAAAAACCCACTGCTGAATCCATCTGGTCCCGAGCTTTTCCCACTGGGTATGCTGAAAATAGCTTCCTTAATTTGGTCTCTTCTAACCTCCTCTATGAGCCCTAGTTGTTGCATAGGGCTAAGTTTTTTACCTTCAATCATTGCCCTTCTGTCTATTTCTTCTGTCTCACTAGATTTTCCATACTGGTTTTTGAAGTATTCAACTAGCACCTCGGCCACTTTTTTTATCCCCTTCAACTATCTCCCCCTCTTTGTTTTTTTATTGTTAACACTTGATTCTGGATCTTTCTTTTCTTAATTCAAGAGTAGAATAGCTTCGAGTTCTGGTCCCCTTTTTGAATCCACTCCACTTTACATAACTGATTAATCATCATAGATGAATGTTTCAGTTTTGTGTGCAATCTCTGGATTAGTGTTTTCTCTTCCTCTATAAGCTCTCCATCGTTGGGATTTTCTTTTAGCTTTGCTTGAGCTTTTTCAAGTCGTTCCCTAATTGCCTCAGTTTCCTCTTGTAGTCCTCTAAATTTGCTTCGATGTAGCCCTTTAAGGGGCTTTTTTTAGAGCTTTCAGTTTTTTGCAGACTTGATACATTGGCCTACCTTGTATGTTCTCCATCCAAATCTTTTCCACAGTTTTGAAAATTCAGGATCCTTGGTCCACATATCACAGAATTTGAAACTCTTGCAAGTTTTTTCAAAGCTTGTATATATAAATGATGAGGGGAGTATGGTCTGATAGGCCTTCTTCCTTGACAATTATCTTGGTGTTATAGGTACTCATCCAGTCTAAGTTGCATAGGGCCCTGTCAATTTTAGAGTATATCCTATGCCCCTGCCCTTGTCTATTTGACCATGTGAAAAATGCTCCTTCTGTAGGCATTTCTTCTAAACCACAAGCCACCACACAGTTCCTAAAATCTGCTATGTCTTCCCATCCAATGGGATTTCTCCCTTTTATGTCCTCTATATGTAGAGGATTATTAAAATCTCCAATTACTACCCAAGGTCCTTTGATGTTGGTGTTGATTTCCATTAGTTTCCTCCATAGGTCCAGCCTTTTGCCTGGCTCATTTTGAGCATAGACAAAGGTGATGAAGAATTTATCCTCCCTTCCAGTTCTTCTAGTCTCACAGTGGATAAGTTGATCATTTTTGCCATTTTCTTTGACCTCAAAAATTCCTGGATTCCAAGTCACCCATACTCTCCCTAGGTCATGCTCGTGATGATTTGTGCAAGTATTCCATCCTTTAGTTATTCTTCCTTCTACTTCCTTGACCTTATTATCCTTTATTTTGGTCTCTAAGATGGCCATGAGACCAATATTATTCTTACTAATAAATCTTTTTATTTCTTCTTAATTATTGGGGCTGTTGAGACCCCTAATATTCCAGCAGCCAATCATGATAGGAATGGGTAATGCCCCTCATAGGGGGCGTCATGGAATATCTTGTTTATGTCTGATCCCTCGTAAAATTGCTCTTCAAACATATATCCTCTTTTAGCACTTTTCCTTTTGTCCACCATTTGGAAGCCATCATTATCCAGGCTTGTACTTGGTCTTTCTTGGGTGATGTTTTCTTGCCTTTCTTCCAGTTTATTTACCATTTCTTCTCCCCCTTTCTTTTGTTCATTATTTTTTGGTTTCCATATCATCTTCCTTTGAACCTGTTTTTCCCCTTTGGTTCTGCACTCTTCCCCAAAATGGCCTATTTTCTTGCAGTGTGTACATTGAACCGGACACCATTTATACTCCAGTTTCTGGGTAACCACTCTGTTATCCTCATCTATGAAGGTCACTTTTTCTGGGAAATTGCTCTGCATACCCACTTCTATCTGGATTCTTGCATATTCCATTTTTGTTTTGGTTGCTGTTGCCCTATCCTTTTTGATTGGATTCCCGATGATACTCCCTATTTTGCTCAGACCTGTAAGGCTCCAGTATTTGAGCTCCAGATCTGGGAATCTGATCCAAATAGGTATGTTTGTCAGTTCCTCCAGTCTTTATTTTCTGGGAATCTGACCGACTTTATTTTCAATTCAATTTAATTGATTATAGGAGTAAAATTTTAAAATAAAATTTATATAGTAATAAACTAAATGAAAAGTTTTACAAAACTAGAGGTGACAAGACTATATTATTTTATGAAATGACTAGTAAAATTGAGCAAACAAAGTGAACAAAGTTTGACTATGTGAATAGTATCTAGGAAGATCTATGGTGGACAGAGGGAGTATATATGCAATAGAGTTATTAGTATTAAAAAAGAATAAAATTCTAACTTTTATCTTAAATTGCCCACATTGCTTCAAATGAAGCCCTAGACCATACTCCTTCCGTCAAGTATCCTCCGAAGAGTATTTGTCTATATTTAATTTTTTTTAGTTAAAATTGATAAGTTTTGACCTCATATTAAATAAAAATAATATCAGATATTGATACAAAAATAGTTTTATTAAATTTATTACAAAAAATATTTTTAAAATATTATTTTATCTAATTAATTTATACTCCGTAATATATATATATATATATATATATATATATATATATACATACATACATACATACATACATACATACATACATACATACATATATATATATATATATATATATATATATATATATATATATATATCACTTAATTAAAGGTTGGAAACCGTTAAATGAAAAGATTAAAACTGGGCAAATACTTAAGGACAGAGATAATATTTTCATAAATTGCTCACTTGCTTCAATGGTGTGATCTATTATTAACGAGGGTTGGCCGATGTCCTTGACAGGTTTGTTTGATGCGTGGTTCCAGCGAATGTGTAGTTCGCTTTCTGAAAAGGTGGAACGCCCAAATCGGGTACCCCACACCTCGACTCGACAAAATTGTGAGAGAAGTAATTTATGATGGAATCTCAATTTGGTCCTTAGAAAGGCCGCCCCGTAACCAGTGGGCACAAAACAGTTTTGATTAAAACCAAAAAGCCTTGGTCTTTTAAGGCCCTATATTCAGAGAGCCTGAAAGTTGGCCCAAAAAAATTAGGGCACAGTTTATCAAGATCGAAAGAAACCCGCGCTCTATCTTCACCTCTTTCCTCTCCATCTTCATCTGCCTAAGGTACGTTTTATTCCACTTCCATTTCTTTTTCTGTAAACTAATTTTGCTTTTTTTCCCACTTAATTCTGTGAGCTCGTCGGTGTTCTTTATCCTGTTCCATTTAATTTCGTAATGGATTCTTTCCCTACATTGAACTGAATTGGGAATTTGAAAGCAAAGTAGATGCAGAGTAGGGATTTTGGTTTGATTATAAATTCATACCTTCTTCATGGCATGAAATGTAAGTTTCCAAGACCAGATTTTTGAACTTATTTTATCTACAATGGTTTTTTTGTTGTTCATTTCAGCAAAACCGCAACCATAGGTAGTGTTAGACTGTTCTTTATTACTGTAGTTTATTTAGGATTCTGAATCCTAATGTACTCCACTCAATAAGCTATCAATGCTTTAGGATACCAGAATCAGACGAAATTTAAAGGTATATTGCAGGATAAAAATGTCCATGTTTGCCTCTGAGTAGGTAATTGCTATTATTTTTTATATCAATGGGAAATATAATTTGATTCACTTTTCATGGAAATTAAGCTTTAATGCGGTAATAAAAATTATAGGATTTATAATGGACTGGAGATTCCTAATGAGTGAAAATACTAGAATAGTGATGAAAAATCTGAATTTGATACACTTGACGGAAGAGTTAGACATGCTTAAATTGATTCTTATCCATTTCCTCCATACCAAGGTGTTGAATGGCCCTCCAAATGCGTTGAGAATTAAATTAAAAAAGGTGTTGGATAGAAAAATTGGACCTTGATGTTGTCCACGTCTACTTCACGAGGATTAACCCCCAAGTTGATACAGATAAAGTAGTAATCCCTACGGCCTTTACTATAATGGTCCATATGTAAAGATTGAAAGAAAATGATTTCCCGAAAATGAGTTCTAGAAAAAAAATTCTAGAAAATAAATTCATTTTATAGTGTTTGGTTGAAAGTTTGGAATATGAAAAAAATAGCTTTTGCTATAACATGATAAAACGTGGTGAGTTTCATTCTTAGAAGTAAAAAAAAGGTGGAAATGTCTTCTGTAAAAGGTGGAAAATATCTTTTGTAAAAAACAAAAATCTTTTTCCTCCAAATAAGTCTCATTTTCTGTTGAGGTCAGAATTCAAGTTTCGTCAACTCATATTTTCTAGAATAGCCAAACATAGGAAAATGACTTCCGAAAGTCATTTCCCCCTTTCCAAATGGACCCTAGACCCATTTTCTTCTTTGAGCATGTACAAAGGTGAGGTACATATATCTAGTGAGGAAGTGCGAGGGGCTTGTGGTAGCAGCCGTTAGGAGGGGTAGAGCTAGATTGCCTAGATTTAAGAAGAGTCTAAAGGAGTGGTTATAATCTCATTGGGGATGTGACCTTAGATATGAGTGTGAGAAGGTCTCACATTATGGTGGTAGGATAGACTTGTTGGCTTTAGTTTGTCATTTCTGTCTGTGTGTTTTTGTGCCTTAGTTTTTAGTTTTGTTTGCATGTTTTTTTTGTGGTCTTACTTTGCGCTACTTTTCGTTGTTGGTAATCAGGTTTTTTGAATCGGGGGTCTCCTTGAAGCAACCTCTCTCTTTCTGAGTAGGGGTAAGGTCTGTGTATACACACTCTTTCAAGATTCTACTGTGTGGGAATTTATTGGGTTTGTTGTTGTTTACGTTCTTGGGCTGTCTTTTAAAAAACTTTATTACATGTATAAGTAAATAGATATCTACTTGATAAAGATAAATCTCAATCACCCATATTTCTTTTTTAAACTTTTTGATAAAAGATAAAGTAATGTTTATTTAGGGGCGAAGGGAGTAATCATTATAGGAATAGTAATAATTAGGGTAAAATGGACCATTCATATTGATAGTTCAATGGCATACACGCTTGACATGTTGAAATAAAAACAGAATATTGTCTTAAAAGGAAAAAACAAAAAGTCAATAGGACATGAACACTTAGAATATGCATGCCAAACCCTAATAAAAACTTAGAACATGTTTATGAATTAAAGCTCCTAAGCTTCTAACCACTATTCTTTAAAATTAATACTATTGCCCATTGCATTATTATCTAAAATTTTAGCTCCATCACCATTTCCATCTCCTGCATCTTGTGGGTCATGATGAGGAAAAAGCTCATCTCAACAAGCTTCTTGGAGACTAACTTTTCGGGACCAAAAAAATGATCACCGTACATATTCTAATAATAGTTATCACGGCGTTGCCTAGGCGTCCTGGACGTCAGCTCCTCTCGCCATGGTGTATCGCCTCCCCTTACTTTGCATCCCTCGCCCAGACGTCGACTAGGCGTCTATGCATCGCCTTCTGAAAATTCTTTATGCCTTTTATTCAATGACTTTTTTCATACTCAGTATTTACTTTGCACTATGAAGTCGCGCATTGTGTTTTAATCATATTTCGTATTTCATATTCTTTTTTTCTTTTTCATATCATGGTGTGTGAATAATTTATTTAAGTACGTTTATTTGAAATTTTGATTAGGTTTAGAGAACACATATGGTTATTTTAATATTAGTGTTACTTAGTATTACTAATGTATACCAATCCGATTTTCTATGTGTTGCTGCCTAGGTCACCTAGTCAAGGCGTCATGGTGGTACATTGACACCGTGCCTCGCCTTGGCGCCTTGATAACTATGCTTCTAATAGATATTCAACCTAAGTCGGACATCTCTTTAACTCAATGAAGCTCTTCTTTTGGTAATTGACTTTTAAAGAATTATGGTCCCAAAAAGTCTTTCCTGAACTGAACCATAGAGAGAAGGACCAAAAAGTCTTTTTGGACAGCTTATATGACATAGGAGATAAGAGCTTTTTGGACATCTTTTTTCTACTCTCCTCTTCTCTGAAAAAAGCTGTCCAAAAAGTCTCTGCCAAACTGAACCAAAGAGAGAAGAGCAAACTAACAAGAGAGAGAGAGAGAGGAAGGGATAAAAATTGTAAAAATAGAGGGAAAATGCAGAAAAAGACTTACCTAGAGATAGAGATGAGAGATTAAAGTGGTGATCATCGAATTACTGCTCAATTATGGTGAAGATGGACAAAATGAAGAGGTTGTAACTTGTAAGGTCTTAGGGAGTTGTGTGTGGAATGGACTAAGGGATGGATCCTGGAGGAAAGAAGACTATGGTTGTTTGTTTAAGAAATATATAAAGGGAAAAGGGACAGACTAGGCTTGTGTCTTGAAGGAGCTGAGGCCCAATTGATTAAAAGAAAGTAGTCCAACACGTTTCAAAAAATAACCCACTCTAAAGAGGGAAAGACTTGAGACTTTTCTCTATAAATCAAGGTGTAAGCTACAATAAACCTCAACGCTTATAAGCCTCATGCATAGGACTTGAGGTGTAAGCCTCATCTAAGTGGAATAAGGCATAAGCCTTGTGGGTTCTTTTTTCGTCTCTCAGCGTCTCAGGAGCACAAGCCTTGTGCCATTTTACCATATAAAGCCATGTTCCTTACGAAACAAGGCTTTTGTGCAGCTTTTAAAACCATGCTTCTTATGGTGAATGAATTCTCTCTTTTCTACTTGTGATTTTTTTTTATACTCCATACCATTTGTCCATCTGTATTTTCTAACTTACATGTACTCTGATTGAATTGAATGCCAATCTCTGTTGCATTGTTACATTCGATGGTCCCAAATGACATCTTCAGAACATTTGCAATTTTTTGAACTTTAAGTACTTCCTCTCTTGGAGTGTATTTGTTCACTTTCTTTGTGGCACATGGACCAAGAAAAGAGAGGAGGAAGTGATCATTATGCCCCTACTTTTACTTTTTGGGTGGGGCAGTTATAGTATTATGTGAAGGCAAATAAATTAATGTCACTTTATTTCTTTTTCTTAAATGGAAAGTGGGCAAATACATTGGGACGGAGGGAGTATATTGTACTTTAGAGTATTATGGATCATGGCGAATACTGTTATTATGATATGATATGTTCATATTATTATTTCAGGTGCACTTTATTTCCAGTTTAAGCAAACCATCAATCTGTTTCCACTATGTTATAGCTGGTATTCAAGATATGTCATCAGATACTGCAAAAGAAAGTGCATCCGTGGTTGATTCGTCCGGGACTGAATGGAAAACTGATAAAGGGAAAGTGGACAATCTTGGTAATATGGATGCCTTTTTTCATCAGTTTTTCCCATACTCTATTTTCTGATGTTCTATATGACCTGAGATTTTGAGTTCTCTTCGTTCGCTTGTTTGGTATTTTTGATTTGTTTTAACATATTAAATAGCACATTGTAAGGTATTGTAGTAAAACAAAATGACGCTACATAGATTTCATTTTTTTGGCATATGCATAAAAAGGGTTTATAATTTCAGGTCGTGGAATATTGCATTTACTTATTATGTGTTGTCTAATTGAATGACTGAGAGTTACTTAGTTCATCTAAATAAACTATGAAGATAATTCAAGGTTTCTACTGCACACGGAGTGATTAATACTCAGTTCATGCAAATGATGCTGACATGATAAAATTAGGTTTTGTGCATTACAAAGTTTTAAAATTATGCTTGCAATATGGTGAATGCCTGTAAAATCTGTAAGTGGATAAGCCAAGCTTGGAACAACTTCAATAACTGTTTTTAATTGTAGCTGGAGTACCAGTTTTGTTTGTCAAGCAAGGATACTGTTCCTTCATGAACTTTTAATTCGTGCTTCACTGTTTAAAATTGTTATTTTAAATATATGGTTCAGGGGGTGTACTAGCTGCTGGTCACTGATCAAGCAGTTCTATTTTTTACATTTTATCTCTGAGTACTGATGTTTGATATTGGATGTATGCCATGAAGATGGCTGTTACGTTTAATATCATGTCCTCACTCTGCCTCTAAATTTCTTCCCACTTTGATTTTTCATGCTTATTAAGAAAATGTAGTGTAATCGTGGTTTATTTAAGGGGCACATATCTTCCCTTAAAAATGTAAGAATCTAGAAATACCCAAAAGGAAAGGAAGAAGAAAGCGTTGGGATGGAATATATCATAATGAGTGATTGCATATCTTACCTGTGCTAGTTTAAATATTTTTTTTCTTATTCAAATGCTCTATTCACTTTCATCTTCTCCAATGGAGCCAAATATTCACTACTATTTGGCTTCGGAGTAAGATGGAATAAAGCAAAATGGTTCTTAAACTATCTGTGTGCTTCATGCAACTTTTGACATTGATCATGGGTCATCTGGGAACAGCCGTTCTATGTTTTAACACAGGGGTCAGGCTGCGTACATCCAACCCCCCTTACCCTGCAATGGGCAGGAGCCTTTGAGGCACTGGGGTAATGTTGTATTTAAATGCTCTATTTTGCAAATAATGTGTAACACATTTTACAGCCTACCCAAATTATCAAGAGAATGACAACAACTATCATTCTGATTCTGGAGTAGGTTTCCATGCAACCCCATGTGAGCAGATTGGAAATGGAAGGCTGTATAGCACAAGATATTTCATTATTAAGAGCTTGAACCATGAAAATTTTCAATTGTCAGTTAAAAAGGGTATTTGGGCGACACAAGTTATGAATGAGCCTATTCTGGAGGAAGCCTTTCATGTAAGATATAGATGTAAAAAAACTGTTGCCTATGTTTGATTACCTTGTAAACTTGCACTCTCCAAGAGACTTTGCCACTCCCAAGCTTGACTGCTTCACACTCTTTCATTGCAGAATTCACGGAAGGTCATTCTCATATTCAGTGTCAACATGAGTGGGTTCTTCCAAGGTTATGCACAAATGATGTCATCTGTTGGGCAGAGACGAGACCGCGTATGGAGCCAAGCAAGTGATGGGCGCAATCCTTGGGGTCGAAGCTTTAATGTTAAATGGCTGCGGTTGCATGATTTACCTTTTCAAAAGACTCTTCATCTGAAAAACCCATGGAATCAATTCAAACCTGTTAAAATAAGTAGAGATTGTCAGGTGCTATATGAAACCTTTCTGTTGTTTGTGGGTCAATAAATTTGTTACTCAGTAGTCGATAAGGATATGTAACCTTTTTCCTTATATTTACGTAGGAGTTGCATCCAGATGTTGGTAAAGCTCTGTGTGAACTCCTTGATGGAAAAGATGTGTCTGATGTTAATATTAAAATGTATAAACTTCCTCAATCCCGAACATTTGTGTTGTGCAAAAGCTCCTTTTTCATATCGATGCTTCTCTAGAATGTTATTGGTGCTTGCAGGGATAATTTGTTTAGGGATGATTACTCTGCTAAAAGGCCACATATAGAGCCTTCAGGACATTCAAGAGATGAAGATTCTAATATGCTGCTGATGCATATGGCACCAATGATGTATCCCTCTTTAATATATCACCATCACACGAGTAGATTTCTTGCAGAGCATCATGGCTCAGATGGTATGTTTCTAGATATTATCAATGAAATAGGAGCCTTACAAAATATATTAGTGAGGGCCCAAAGTTTTTTTTTTCAGTTTGATGCTTTTGGTTTCTCAGGTGAAAGTCCTCTCGGTAGTTCCCTCACTGCTCTCACTGATGATGATATCCTTGACATGGTAAGTGTCCATCATATTACTAGCAGGATATGCTCTATTTTATTAATAGCAAAAGAGGAAGTCTTTATGTATTCACACTATCATTTTGATTTTTATATTCTACTCCCTCCATCCCATATCATTCTTCGCAGGGCACTATTCCAACTTCACGGGAACTTTTATTTATTTGTGTTTTTTCGTGGCCTATATGATATAATAAAATTTTGGGGTGGGAAGAGAATTGGGTAATCTGAGATTTTTTTGTTGATTCTATTTTACTGTGAAAATGGAATCAGATTAGGTTGTTTTTCAGGGCTTCCATTGTGATGTGAAACAAAATGACTCAAAAAATTGATGATCAGAAAGAGATTTACTGGAGTGGGTTGTTAGAGTTTCACGAATCAAGAATCACTTTCTTGAATTTTGTCAAAACACTCAAATTTCTGGTGCTTGAAGTAACAGAATTACGATCACGGAGATGAAGCAAACATCCCTTTGTAATTGAGCATGTGGAAATTATGGTTTTATGTATTTGGTATTGTGTGTGTTATCGCATCGATGATTTTACCCCATTTTTCCACTTATGCCCGCTCCTGTTTCCCCAGTCGTCGTCTATATAATAATCAATTCTTTTCTCCCCTTTTATGTTTCGGTCACATGTTGCAGACATATGAAGAGTACCTCGAAGCCCACAGCAAAGGGAACAAAAGAGTACGGAATCATGTTAGTCTATTTCATTCATCTTATGATACCTTGCTAGAATACGTCTCTGTAGATAAGTTAAATGAATGAAATTATGATTGTCTAACTGTCTAATTATATAGCCTGCGTTATTTTTTATTCTTACTACTTTCTTTTAATTCTTTCACACCACATGCATATTCATGGAATCTGTGGCATTTTTGTCTCTTGTTTCTGAATTGTTTTTATATGCAAATGGACTCCTCTGGTGAGTTTGTGCTTGTTTGAGCATTCATTTAGCAGGTCAAGTCCAAGGCTCCATTTGTTTACAGGAAACTAACATGCTGAGTGAAATGATTCTTTGGAAATGTTTGGGAGTATGGAAGATTTTTTTTTCATTTCCAAACAAACGTTTGTCAAGAACGTATTTTTTTTTGGAAACAAGTGGAGCTGTCATTTGTAATTGTTGTTTTCCAAAATTTTCAGAGAATCCCTTCGGTGCTCATTGTTTATCACCAAAAGAATAATAATGCTAGAGTGTGGGATAATGAGGCTTAGAGCATCATTAATGCAAATTGCTTAGATCGAGTACTTAACTATTTTTTTCTATTAAAATGCTAAGCATTGGTTGCTTAGTGAAGCAACCCTCTAACAAATCGAAGCAATTGTGCTTCCATGTCATAAACATTTCTTTATTTAAATATTCCTAAGCAACTCTTATGCAACTAGCACTAAAGATGCTCTTATGTTTACAATAGAGATTTTATTGATTTATGAACTTCTTATATATAACGAAATGGATAATTTGACCTTGAAACCCCGTCGGTAAAATTGACGGTTTTTATCCCCCAACCCTCCCCCCCATCCAAGCACTCCACCCCCCCCAAACACCGATTTGGGCAGCCCAAATTGGTGTTTTAGGGGGGCTGGGGTGCAGGGGGCAAGAATTATCAATTTTACCTACAGAGCACTCTAGGTGCCCCGGGTCATAAAGTGACTTTGGTTTCAAGGTCAAAAGATCTTTGCCGTATATTTAGAAATACCCATGCTTTTGTTCATTAATTTTTGTCATTTGGTGGTCTGCTACGGCGATAGACTATGCACGTTATATTTTGGACAATGAACATTCAGTTGATAATAAACGGAATGCATTTCAATATATGCAAAGCATGCAAACTGTGTCTCAAAATATGGAAAACATGCACTAAAAACAAGTAGTATGATAAGTTTTTGTAATTTCATCTCTCTTTAGATTTCAGGGCAAACAAGGAGTGCTCAACAGTCATCTGGCAGCAAAGAAAACGCCGATGAGTCGTAAGTCTACTGCAATTTTCTATGTTGGACATTTTCGTATGAGATCTGAAGGGAGGTCTTGGCCCAACAGGTCCCCAAGGGATCCAATCGAACCAGAACTATTAACATGCCCTGACTCGACATTTCTGGTTCTTACTCGTTAGGACCAGACCGGCCAGTTCTGGTTCAGGCCCAAACAGCTACTCTTTTTTCTGTAGCTGACTTGCAACGGCCTATCCAGTGAAACCCATAAAATGTGGTTTATGTAAACTGTATGTTTGTATATGTGTAGTATTATCAAACTGTAAGCTTGTTACTTTGTAACTTAAAAGTTTATAGAAACAATTATATACCACGTAAGTTTGTGACGTGTAATTTTGTAGTAGTACTCCGTAATACTCTGTATTAGTTATTGAATTACTTAAACATGATTAAAATATCATTTTTCTTCTGTTCTTTTGAATATGATCCAAGTCTAGGGTTCAAATCTGGCTTGGGTTTTTAGCCCTTTCCCAATTTGTGGGAGGTTCAACACAGTAACGTTGTCTTTGACATAACATACTGTTTTTTTGGCAGGCATTCGGGCTGTAGCTCGAAGAAGAGTTCTCACCGACGTTCGAGCTCATGAATGTGTATTCATTCCCCAGTAAGTAGTTGGCTCTGCAATTAGCCAGCCGCAAAGCGGCTTCGAATTTTACCTGTATTTGACAAAAAAGTCCTCGAAATATTGGGGTGAAAATGTGGTGGGAATGTTGTATTATATATTCCGTATATATATATATATATATATATATATATTTTGTACTATGTATGTTGTGGACTGTAATGTTTTTGCACCTTATTGGAATCTATTTTTAAACATTTGTATATAGTTTAGCCTTGCCTCGTGTATATATTTTCCATGTTTGGGTGGTGTAGTAGCACCTACTTCCCAAATTTTTGAAGTACTTTTTTTTTCTTAAATTCTCTATGTTTAGTTGAAAATAAATTATGTAAAACATTTCTTGCAGTTTTGAAATCTCAACCATTAGGTTTTTAGCATATACACCCTCCGTCCCAATTTAAATTGCCTGTTTTGACTTTTGGGCATATTTAAAGAAAATAAAAAATAGAGTTGATTTTCTGAAATTGACATTACTTTTTAGGAGAGGTGGGTGATGATGAATGAGAAGATAAGGTGAAGAAATGTGACTTATTTTAGGGGTAGTTTAGGGATTTTATTTTTAAAAGTTTATGAAAACAACTAACAGGCAACTTATTTTGGAACGGAAAAAAGGCAAACAGGTAATTTAAAATAGGACGGAGGGAGTACAAGTTTTTGGAGTCATCGTTTAACTTTGGATGATTTTTTGGGTGGCGATAGTTACATTTGCTCAAATACTATGGAGTAGCATCTCTTTTCAGAGTTCAATAAACTAGTTTTCTGTCTAAGTATTTATGAGTGATGAATATGTAGAAATACCGTTGTCTAATAGTGGAATGATGAGCAACTCATGTTTTTTTGTCATGACTATGTTGGCGTAATAACGAGTGTTGTCAATGCCGATAATACAACAAAAGTTTACTAAAGTTGAAACGTGTTCATAGATTACCGTAACACAATAGAGTCCCAAATTGCTCGAGGTACTTGTCTGCTATCATAATTGATTGTTAGTGAAACGTAGAAAATAATACTACGTAAATGATAATTGCACCCAAAGTTACAACCGAATAAATTGGAAATTCGGATAAATAGCACACTTAATTATATAAAATTTGGACTTTTGATAATTACTCCAATAGAATTTGACATGTTCAACTATTTTTAGACTCCAACTTCATGTACTTTTTTCTTGCTATCATTGTATCTTTGTATGACTCATAAATCCATGAATGTCTTTTCATGTTAAAATTTTTTCCTATTTTATAAATTCATCAAATATTTTGCAATAAAATACCAAAACCCGCTGGGAACCAAAACCGAAACCAACCATTCGAAAACCCCTCCCCACTGGGTCCCGGTTACAATTCTACCCTTGTGGAAACCAACGATTTCAAAACCAAAATCGAACTAGAACGTTGCCATGTCCAAACTCACAACTAAGGTTATGTTCTCTTCAGCTTATTCTTATTACTTGTTATTTTTTCTTATTAGAATTAGTTCGATTTAGACTAGATCAGATAAAAAAATAACTTTAAATACTCCCTCTGTCCCCCATAGATCTTCCCAATAGCCCTTTTTCTTTGTCCACAATAGATCTTCTCATTTCATTTTTTAACAATTAAAATACCACAACTACCCCCACTTACTTTATTTATTACACCTCACCCACCTCATTTAATACACTCCACCCATTTTTCATTAAGGGTATTATGGTAAACTTTCACCTTTTTTCAACTCTCCTTAAAAACCACCAAAAGTCAAAATAAGAACATCTTAGGGGAATGGAGGGAGTATAACTACATGCAGATCAAATTAGAACAGAACATATTTCAATCAGATCAAAACCATTAAAATCAGGTGAAGAGAAATGACCTAATTATTCATAGAGATTACATTATACTCCGTAATGTTTTATGATACGGAGTATAAAATTTTATAATATTCGAAAACTTGTGCCAAATAATAAGTCAAAATAAATTTCAGATTATAAAACTTTACAATGACAAATAGTTATCAGTCACTCAAAATTGATGAAGTTCGACTTCAAAAGCCAAATTGTCACCTTTAATAACATGAGACTGTTTTTTCCCATTTTGTTATTTTCAACAGATTTTAAACATTCCAATGAACATCTGGATATGACCAGAGCAAGAGTCCCTCCCTACATTGGAGTGTTACAAAAAAAAAGGAAAAGTCTTTCCCAAAGTCACTCTTCCTAACACTCAAATCCAAAACGGATACCCGAAACATGGCCCGAGCAAGGGTCGACAAAAGTACCAAAATGCCCCCCAGAACGTTTAGCAGACGTGTTGTGTCAAGGACAACGCTCTCCAACCGATATCCCGCCTGTAAAAACCGCCCGGCCACTCAACTGCCTCAACTCCTCGGTACGCTCTGTCCCTTGCCTCTTGAAGATCCTTTCCTTTGGCCGTGACCCCAAGGACGCGCCCTCCGGTTGCAATGAAATTGCCCTCCGCATCAAGAGATGTTCCGGCGTGGAATATTTTGGCCACCTGCTCTGCTTCGTCCAGCTTCTGAATCACTGTTCCCTTTTTGTAGTTTCCAGGGTACCCCTCGCTGGCCATGACTACCACCATGGCTGACCCAGGTGACCAGTTCAGGGATACTCCGTTCAACTGTCCCTGACAAGCTGCCAGTAGGACCTGGACTAAATCGGACTCCAAACGAACCATTAATGCCTGCAAAATGTGTAAAGAGAGAATTTGAAAGGGTGGTGACATTAAACAGTTATCGACGTTCACTACTCCAAAAACATCCCAACCACCACCCAAGGTCATTGTGGTACTTTCCAATGATTTTGGCAGCATGTGATTTTCCATATGTAGTCCCTAATTTTAAGATTTACATAGATGGTCCTCAACTTTTGAAAACTATTCCATAGTCGGTCCTTTAGGGACTATATGTGGAAAAAATATTCTGTCATATTTGGCCAAAAGGACTATTTTTGGAATAGTTTTCAAAAATTGAGGACCATTTATGTAATATCTTAGAATTGGGGAATAAATATGGAAAACCACCTTTAATTAGTGACCATTTATGGAATTTATTTATTGTTTAAATACTCAGAAATCTTGACATATAATTGCACAAAACGACAGCAAAAAAAACATTGCACAAAACGACAGAAAAAAAAAGTAAAAAAACTTAAACTAACCTGGCACTCAGGGTCTCCGAAACGCACATTGTACTCGATTAACTTAGGTCGTCCGGATTTCTTCTCAATCATTAAGCCGGCATACAGAACCCCAACAAACTTGCAGCCTTCTGCACTCATCCCCTTTACAGTAGGGACAATGATGGACTCCATAACCTCACACTCGAGTTCCTTAGTCAGAACAGGTGCCGGAGAATAAGCTCCCATTCCACCTGTATTGGGTCCCGTGTCACCATCTCCAACCCGTTTATGATCTTGAGCGGATTCCAAAGGAATGGCATTCTCCCCATCTACCAACGCAAAGAAAGATGCTTCCTCGCCCTCCAAGTACTCCTCAACCACAACTTGAGATCCAGCTGAGCCAAACACGCCTCCCACAAGCATGGATTCTACAGCCTCATATGCTTCATCAAGTGTCATGGCAACTACCACCCCTTTACCGGCAGCCAATCCATCTGCTTTAATTACAATGGGAGTGCCTTGCTGTTTGATGTACTCTTTTGCTTTTGATGGTTCTTTAAATGTTTGATACTGCACCAATTGAAAATGCAAGTGTAAATATGAAATCCTTGTCAAAATAAAAAGGAAACCATGCTATTGAAACTTGAGTTCCATCTTAAAGGGTCAACTCCACAGGAGGTGTAGTCCAAAGTCTTGTATGTTGATCTATAGTTTTCAATTTAGCCGATATGGGACATACTCTTCACCACCCCATCCCACACGGTTGTCTATGTGGTGCAATTCTTTCGAAGGTGCCAAATAGAAAATTAATGGACTCAGAGGCTCTGTTTGGACAGAGGGCTTTGGAAGGCTTTGTATATGGCTTGATATACATTTGAGATTTTATTAATCAAAAAAATATTATGATAAACTGATAATATGTGATTATATAAAATCTCAATCACCTTTTTAAATTTGTTAAAGATTCTATTTGTCAAGATGTACAATAAGCCCTCCAAAGACTTCCAAAACCCCTCATCCAAAGAGACCCCTAATTCAATGGGCTAGGCCCTAGGTTGCATCATATCACTAAACAATATACTATAGTATATTACTCTGTATTATATTTAAACACATTTTGCAAACGATATTGAAGATGTTAAACATTACTAGGAAAAGTATTTGGGTGTAACACTGATACAGCAGAAGTTAGAAAGTTTGAGATAAACCTTTGCCGTCGGGATCCCATACTTGTCACACAAGCTCTTCATGAAGCTTTTTGACCCTTCCAAGGCAGCAGCTTCGGAGGAAGGGCCAAATGTCAGGATTCCAGCCTTACAAAGATCATTACTGAGGCCCGCAACAAGAGGAGCCTCAGGCCCAATAACAACCAATCCAACTCCCTGTTTGTGGCAAAATGAGATCACCTCTGAACTATTGGAGGTGTCGAGGTCCAATACACAGGTAGCATCTCCAGAACTAGAAATTCCAGCATTACCCGGGGCACAAAAGACCACGTCACAGGTAGGTGATCGTTGTAAAGCATAACAAAGTGCGTGTTCCCTCCCTCCTCCACCAATGACCAACACAACCACCTTTCCTTCTTCTGTAATAACTCAAAAACAAACATATAAAAAAGAAACATATTATTTAGGTACCCAGCTAAAACCTCCCATCTTTCATTAAAAAAATTGTATCAAAACACCCCCAAGTCAAATTTTAGAAAAAGATACAGTACTATTTATCATTGAATTTAATGTAACATTTTGCTTAAAATAGTGAGATGAACAAATTTTTTTGAAGAAAATAAGTTGTACCTTGAAAAAAATTGCTTTTTTTGCACGGGAGTAACCGATAGGGTCTGGTTTCATTTGTATTGCTTGTAGACTAGATTTTTGAAACAAATAAATAAGCTACTTATGATTGAAATCGATGTGATTTTTTATTTGAAAACAAGTCTAAGAAACAGATTAATTTAGGAAAGAGTAGGATGGATGATTTACAAGAGTTCTATACTACAGCTTTTATATTAAAAAAAGTACCTCGATAAGGTGTGTTTTTTTTTTTTTGGGGGGGGGGGAAT